GCGACGAGAGCAAAGCTCCAAAATTGGAGCTCGGCCTGGCCGTAATCAAGGCGGGGTAGGGGCGGTCGGCAAGAGGACGTAAAGGCAGAGACGCGGGCACAAGGAATTGATGAGAGGTGCTCGCTCTCTGACTCGCCGTGACCGTGACTCGGCGGTGGTAGAAAGCAGAGGAAGAAAGAGAGAGGCGGGGTGCGGCAGGTGGGCTCGGCTCGTCCTCGCCTTGGCGGGACGCAAGCGGCGAGATCGGAAGACCCACATGCCGGCGCTAGCCAACAGGCACGCACGGTCGACCGGCGTGTCTCGCGCGGCCATAATGTCTTAATTGACATGGCGACGGTGGCTCGACCATGTGCGCGCGGCAGAAGTGACATGCACAGGAACGGTAATAGTGCAGAGATGCAGCGAACAGGCGTGGACGTGATGACAATGCGATGGCAGCGGCAGTGTCGCAACGCGAGGCAGCAATGGACGGTTGCGATGGCATCGCAGCACGGCTGTGGCGGTACCAACGGTGGCAACACGAGGCTGGGCAGCAGGGCGCGGGGCCAGCGGCTCACTGTGGCCGGCCTCGGCCAAGCCCAGGCGGCACGACCGGCCAAGCGCGACGGTATGGGGTGACCAAGCGGGACACGGTCATGGGCACGGCACGGGGTGGCCGCGCGGTGACCACGCACAAAGCGCCGCCATCCCGAGACATGTGACGTGCATGAATTTTAAAGCGCTCAACACGACCAAACGATCGCTCCAGGAGCCAAACCAGCTTCACCTTGCTCAAGATGGCATATGAGACTACCAAATTAAGCTATAACACTACACCACCCTTATACCCAATCTCTCACAATAAATTGCTAAACATAGCAATGTTTAGCTGTTGGCAGACTTGAAAATTTCTAAGTTTTTGAGCTGGATTTGTTTTCAAGTTCTATTTCTAGACTATTAGAAGTACCAGCTAGTAACATTATTTTTATACAGCAAGTATTTCATTGTCATCTACAAAGTCCGCACTTCAAAATTTATTTAAGTGTCACATACACGTTCTATAATATTTTTGCTTAATAAAAATTGGTTTTCAACCTTAAGTGATATAACATGACTATTGAATCCTTTTTATGTATCATTTGTGTTTATCATTTTTCATGCCAAGAAATTTATTTACACCTTCTCACATGCATTATCACAAAAACATGATGCTCATGACATAGTTTAGCAAGTTGTTTAAGCGGTAACACCAAGGGTGTTACAAAAGCCAAAAGGAAAGCCAACACCATTCCTAGTCCTATTTGTTCTGGCCCGCACAAGAGTTCAGTGTTCAATCACTGAAGTTCCACGATCAGGCGCGAAAGTTTTGAGCCCTGTCGTGGAAGTTCCACGACTTGACTGTACCATTGGATTGGGAATGAGGGGAGTATTTATACTTTCTCTTCTTCTTCCCCCAACGGTGTCCTGCACATTCACTCACCCCAGCAACCGGCAAACAAGCTCTCTCTCCTCCATTGAAGGCCACCCAACCTCTCCTTGAGTTCTAGGTGATTTCCACTTGTGAGACTGGGTTTGGGAGTGGATTAGAGAGCCCTTGAGCAAGAGCATCATTTGAGAGCCTTGGTTCTCCTTCTAGCTTGCGCTTTGTGTTTGTTACTCTTGGAGCTTAGGTTTCTAGATGGCTAGAGGATGCCCAGGAGCTCCTAATCGGTTGTGGTTGAGCACCAGGAAGTTTGTATTGCCCTTGTGAGGCTTAGTGGAAACTTCAAGCTCAATCTTTGTAGTTTGCTTGAGAAGAAGTCGGAGTTGGAAGAGACTCCAAGCCTTTGTGGCTCCCTCAACAACGATGACGTAGGCAAGCCTTTGTGGCTCTGCTGAACCTTAGGGTAAATCACTTGTCTCCTCTCTTGCTGTTGAGTTTGTGTCTCTCTCTTGTTTGAATTGCGATTCTAGGGTTTCCACCTGATCTACACGTATAGTGTGTTCTAGCTGCAAGGACTTGGTGCAAAAGGAAGCTAGAATCACTAGGAAGCTAGGTATTTAACTCGATTTGTTTTCCATCTTTGATTTATAGCTCGAAGGCACTTTTAGCCTTTTGCGTAGAACTTCCGCAGATTTGCACGGAACTTCTGTGGTGATGCACTGAAGTTCCGCGGAAATCTACTGAAGTTCCATGGTCTACTAATCGCTGTGTTTGAGTTTAAGTTTTTGTAGACCTATTCACCCCCCTCTAGGCCTTGCATCGATCCTTTCACTACTGTGTTTTACTTTTTTCCCAATCAATGATCAATATTGTATTGATCCCTTGACATTCAGTCGTCAGCTCTCCAAAGAACAAGATTTTTGTTGAATGCCCTCCCAAACTGTAATGATGATGCTCATGGTCAAGCCACCTTCCCATTTGCTGCTAATCTAGGATGTTGCCACCCATGCTCCTTGTCCTAAGAAAGAGAGAAAGAGGAAGGGAGAGATGAGACTGTGTGTTGCGCTAGGGTTGGGCTATACCGCTGCAGGGGTCTATCGACAAAACTTCAAGGAGGTTTCTGCAAAATGACGAGGTTACCGATTCTTGCCTTCTTCATGTTGAAATAAAATTTACACCAAGGTTCTAGTAATAAAATACCCAAACACGATTATTGGTTAGAGAGGACAAGTCAGACGACGATTTGAATTCCTAAAATGTAGAGGCCTTTTTTACAAAATAGCAATGACACGCGCCACCCATGCTTCGATTCTCTCGAGTGAGCAGATAGAGGGTGGTTTTAATAAACTAAATATATAAATGTTGTACATATTTCTCGGTGGTGCCTATGATAAATTGATAGCATTAGTTTGGACACAGTTAAGCACTGCCAAAAGAAATTATAACTCACAGTGAAGCAAATAAGTTGTGAAATGGTGCTAGTTATGACAACCAAGAATGAAGCATGCCATAATGAACCATCTAAAGAAATAAATGCCAAAGATGATGATATCTAGATTATTCAATAAAATTAATATATGTATGTTTATATACATCATAGTTTAGTAGTATGAGTAATGTACTATATCTATTAATAACTGTTTGCTTCCAGATGTTATATTATATTATATTAATATATATGTATTTAGTGCTTCAACTTTTTATGGGCAGTTTATTAATTTGCATAGCCACAGACTTCGTTAAATACCCGCGGCTGCCGGTAGTATTTTGCATCTCTAGAGTACTAGCTCACCGCACCGCTACTATTCCAATTTTCAAGAACCATATTCCAATAGTTTCCTCTTCTTGGTGCCGGCCTAGGGAACAGAGGCTTACCTCAAAGGTATCTATTGAGCATTTTTCCATTTTGATTTGTGTTTTTTAAGTTGGATTTTGCTATGGTAGTCTAAAATAATTATGGGACATTCATCTAATTAGATCGTATGGTTATAATCATCTATTACCTTCAGTTAGTACGTGATAAATTGAACCTAACCTACCTAATATAAAGTCTAGTAGCATATGATATGCACGCTCACCATCTAAATCGAGGTCCCCAACCCTCTAGCAGAAGAGGCCCCCGGAGGCGGAGGCGAGGGGGAGCTGCCGAGATCGGCGCCGGAAAGCGCTCACCCTCAGTTTGCCCAGATCTACTGTAGTAAAGGGGAATGGGTTGAGAAAAGAAGACCACGGCATGTTAGCTTTTTATGAGCATGCGCCTCCATGTTAGCAGTGTCGCGTGTACCTCATGTGTTAGCTGGCACGTTAGGCTTAGGTGGTGATTTTTTATTCATATGCTTGTTTTTCCCCTCGACTTCCTTTAGTTGCCAATCTGTTTTTTCCCTCAACCATATTTGACCGTAAGACATTTATAAAAGAAACTAGTAGTATAGGATGTGTTTGGATCTTTGTGCCGCCAGCAACCTAAGCGACCAAGTAGCAATCTGACCCCAAACTAAGGAAATCGGCGCCTAGGAACATTTGCCTATGACTGGCACATTTCCTAAGGTAGCATCCAAACAAGTCGATAGTGTATGTATACCACAATCGAAATCGAGGTTCTCCTACCCTCTAGCGCCAAAGAGGCCTTTAGAGGCGAGGGAGAGCCGCCGAGATCGACGCCGGAAAGTGACTCGCCCTTGGTTCGCCTTGATCTACCGTAGCAAAGGGGAAATGAGTTAAGATAGGGAAGGCTGTAGCATGTTAGCTTTTTTGTGCATGTAATGCCTCCGTGTAAGCAGTGTCATGTGTACCTTGTGTGTTAGCTGGCATGTTATTAGGCTTAGGCGGCGATTTTGGCATGTTATTAGGCTTAGGCGGCGATTTTTTTTATTCATGCGTTTTTTTCTCCAACCTTAGTTATCAATCTTTCTTACACATATAACAAGTTTTCCTAATCGTGTTGTTTTGTCCCTATAATTGGGCTAGCTAATATTATTGTAGCAAACCATAATTTGGTAACATGTCATGTACATAATAGTAATAGTATCACTCAACAAGGAATAATAGTATATTATATATATATTATATATATCTATATTATATCACTCAACAAGGAATAAAATGGGGGCCGCTGAGGGCCTCAGCGACTGTTCAGTGCTACTCGCTTTTTACTGCATCCAAACACTGTTCACTTCTTTTCGTGTACCCATTGTTTGAATACAGTTCGCCACTATTAAACCACTGCCACACACATTGTTCATACGCTGTACCATAGCGGTTCTTTTTGCCTATCCCCATTTGTCGGTGTGGCGTTACCACGGCGTCAGCGCGCCTAACTGTGCTAGTATATATATAATCCACCGGCCACAATTCGTAATGCTAGCCAATTGTCATGGAACATGTATAACATAAAGTCATAGTTAACATGACATGTTTATTACATGACTTGTTTAACGTTTTTCTTTCTTTATTTAACTAATTCATAAAATAAAAAACAATGGCTCATATTTATTTGAGCTATTACCTCCTAATTATCGTAGCATATTACCCTTTAAAGTTACTATATACTGATGAGGACACTGATTATACCTTTTAATCTGCTAGTGCAAGGTAACCCATGGAGGAGGAAGGGCAGCAGGTCACTGATGATGAAGACTACAACGATGAGGACTACACTCCTGAGCCCGAGACGGCGTCCAAACGCCAGAAACGCCACACCCCGGAGCAGATTCGAGAACTTATAGCGTAATACAGTACAACCGATTAAATTAAGCGACAAAGAATTAATTAATGTTTGCTTGGTTTACTTTGGCCTTAAAAATTGCTTGAGTGCCCTTTATCTATCTTGTGCTGTGCAGTGCATACCAACGGTTTAACCACCCAGATGAGCCGACACGGCGCGCGCTTGGCGCAAAGATTGGCCTGGAGGCCAGGCAGGTGCAGTACTGGTTCCAAAACCAGCGCTCCCAGATGCAGGTCACAGTCACACAAATCTCATTTTCGTTCCATTCCATGCATGATCAAATGTACCGCTAGTGGTGGCAAAGAGCCAAATAATCGACAGTTACAATTTCTTTTTAAATTTCTGCAGGTGAAGGCTCTAGTGCAGAACAACAAGGCGGTTGAGAAGGAGAATGCTGCACTGATGGCCGAGAACGTATCACTCCGCCAGGCCATACTAAAAAAGTGCTGCTTCACGTGCGGCGGCGCGACGGTGCCCGCTGAGTTGCCGGCTGAGAACCGGCGTCTGCTGATGGAGAAGGCGAGGCTCAGGGACGAGTACATGCGCACCACCGCCTTGATCAACCAAATCTTGCTCTCGGCGCCCCCGGCTGAGCGCCCACCAGTCGTCGCCCGCCCCGCCGTGCTGTCCGTTGGCGAGGGGGCCAGCAGGGGCGCCGACCGCGCCGCTCATCTCCACAGGCACGCAGAGGCTGCCATGGACCAGTTTCTGCTACTCGCGACCAAGGGGGAGCCGCTGTGGCTGCCCACCCCGGACGGAGAGGTGCTGAGCTACCAAAAGAAAATGTTGCCGGTGCACCATGGGATTTGCCCGGACGAATTCGTCATGGAGGCCACCAGGGAGACTGGCATGGTCAGAGCCTCTGCCGCCTCCCTCGTCGCCATCCTTACACACGCGGTACGTGCACTGGACACATCTTCTCCGGCTGATCCATTCCTACAGCAATCGCAATGCTAAATATGCATCTAAAGTTCCTTTAATATGGTGCTTGTGTTTGTGTTGTTTGTCGATCAGAAGCGCTGGTCCGAGATGTTCCCTGGCATCGTGGCGGGTGTGAGCGCCAGAGGTGCCATTTCCGGTGGCGTCATCGGTTCACATCTTCAGCTTGTGAGTTCGCATGCATATTTTTTTTTAGAATTACACCGTACACCGGAGACATCCATAACACGCACGCACACTCACTTGGTACATATGTGTTTTTTTAGCCAGCGATAGATGTATGTATCCTATCTGTGTTGTTCGTTGAACTGACATTGTGGAGCACCGCGAGCACTTGCAGATGAACGCAGAGCTGCAGGTGCCGTCGCCACGTCTGCTCAACTGCAGGATCAACTTTCTGAGGTATACCAAGCAGGTGGGCAAGGGGCAGTGGGCTATGATGGACGTGTCCGTGGACGGCATCCTTGGACCGCCAGGCAGCCGCGTCACTGACGCCGCCGTTGCAAACAACACTGTTGTTCCGGCGTGGTACACGAGCTGCAGGCTGCTGCCGTCCGGCTGCCTCATTGAGGACATGGGCAATGGCTACTGCAAGGTAAGTACAGTCCTACTCTTGCTTATTACTACAATCCCTCCATAAACAGTAATTATATTTCAGAATTCAGGCCTTCAACTTGAAATTCTCTCGTGCATTGCAGATAACATGGGTTGTCCACGCGGAGTACAACGAGACCACCGTGCCAACAATGTTCAGGCCACTGTTCCGCTCTGGGAAGGCTCTCGGCGCGCACCGCTGGCTCTCGTCGCTCCAGAGGCAGTGCGAATACCTCGCTGTTCTGCACTCCAGCCAAGCCCCAAGGGGTAGCAACACAGGTCAGTCATTTTATGGACAACAAGGAAACTGTCCATATATAACCTCTTATTTCATTTTCATATACGCTAGCTCTTGGATTAATTAGCTGGAAACAGTTGAGCACGGCTTGTCCTTGAAAACTTCCACAGCAGCTGCCATTTCGTCAATGGGGAAGAGGGGGATCTTGGAGCTGGCCCAACGCATGATGGAGGTTTTTTACTCGGCTGTCTCTGGTCCCGTCACTCAGCCGTCCAGCAAGATCTACGAGTGCCCTGCAAGCGCTGGCACTGGCGCCAGGAGGACTGACGCAGCTGTGCGCATGGTGACCTGGAAGAAAGCCGGCAGCGTGGCTGACCTGGTGCTGAGTGCCACCACCACGGTGTGGCTGCCAAACACTCCGCCACAGCTTGTGTTCCAGTACCTCTGTGATGGCCAGCGCCGCGGCGAGTGGGACGCCTTCGCCAACGGTGCAGCCGTGACTGAGCTGTGCTCTGTGGACACGCGCCATCTCAATGGCAATGCTGTCTCCGTCCTCTACTCCAATGTGAGTTTATTAATTATTAGAAGTTCTAGCTAGCAATGTATCACAGCAAAGAGTCACTGGATGTCTATCGGATTCAATTCTGTTGCAGGTGACCGATGGAACCGACCGCAAGAAGGTGCTGATCTTGCAGGAGTGCGCCGACGCGTCATGCTCCATGGTGGTGTATGCTCCTGTCGAAGAGGATTCCATGCGTGCGGTCATGAACGGTGGTGACCACGCCTCCGTCTTCCTCCTGCCGTCTGGGTTCGCCATTCTTCCGGACGGCCACGGCAGGGCTTGCCATGCTCCGACCTCCTCCAGCACGGTCGTGGGCCGCGACAACACTGCTGGGTCCCTCCTCACTGTGGCATGTCAGGCGCTGCTGCCCGGCTCATCCCCATCTGACAACCATGCCGCTGACGGGGCCTTTGACGACGTTGGCAAGCTGCTCTGTCGTGCACTGAAGAAGATCAAGGCTGCCGTCAAGGCCAACATCATCATCCCAGCTTGATGCAAAAGAGGCGAGGCGCAAGAGTCGGGCACAATGTCGATTAATAATGCTTCTACCATTTGAGATTTGTCGAGAGAATAATAACGTTTAGACTCAGTTATCAGCGGCGTAGTCCCCTTTTCGGAACATTATCGCCGTTCTCGTTTTCACCGTTTTATTGCTTTTGTCATGGATTTGTGTCAGTTTAATAATATGGATTATGATAGGATGGTTTGTCATAATGTTTTCTTAGTACTGATCTGGTTACTAGCACTTGTTGCGTGAAAATTTTGGTTTTTCTTCACTATGAGCTTGCCATCAGGTTTTTCTGTTTGCCTTGGTTTCTTGATATTTTGCAGCTCAGGTAAGTTTCATGGCAGTGTCCAATTTTAAATTGTGATCGGAGGTTGTTCGTATCAATATCCATTTGAGAATCCAAGTTAAGATGTGTCCTGGTTTGCACAATGAGTGTGATTAACGGCTGAATTCAGCCTGATTAGGCCCCGGATGCAATACTATGTTGATTGGATGCCTGGTTTAGCAGTTGGGTGGTTGGGCTCTAGCCTCTGCATGAAGATCGAAGTTGTTTTCCTCTGGCATGTTTGCCCTGTATGATGAGGATACTTCTGCAATCATGTTTGACCACTATCACTATCTGGGGCACATTAAGGTAATACAACTATAGAAAGTTTAATCACCGCCGCAACAATATCACTATCCAGTTCACTCTTCAGGGCACAGGAAAGAAGAAGATGGAGGAGGAATTGATGCAGCTGGAAGTGAAATATCCAAACAATGCTAGAGGCATAGCGAAATTCAATGTTCCATTGGCACATATGCTGTTTGCTGGCGCGGACTTCATTATTGTCCCAAGTAGGTTTGAGCCCTGTGGTCTCATTCAGTTGCAAGGGATGAGATATGGAGTGGCAAGACTTTATAACTTGCTCTGTTACAATTCAAATTTGAGTACACATATAAGTATTATTAAAGCTAAATATTAACAGTCATTTTTTCTTATCATGTTACATCTTGATTCTCTGTTAAGTGTAAGAAAATACCACATAGTTAAGTGGAGAAAGTGTGGAAAAATGACCATCAATGCTGCAAATATTTTTACAGATTCCCATCTGTTCATGAACTGGAGCACTTGTTGACACGGTTAAGGAGGGTGTCACCGGATTCCACATGGGTTCTTTCAGTGTCGAGGTAAAGAATAATAGGCAACCACTGATTCATTGCTCAGGCTCAATAAATAGCCTTTGGTTAACTTTTTTCCCTATCTTGTAGTGTGAAACTGTAGATCCAGCTGATGCCACAGCAGTAGCGTCAACTGTCAGGCGAGCCCTGAAACAGTACGACACCCCGGCATTACATGAGATGGTTCAGAACTGCATGACCCAAGACCTGTCCTGGAAAGTAGGCTCAGATGTTAAAATTTCCGTTTATCGTTGACATACAGCTACTCGTCAAGATAAGGATAACCCTTGTATATCTGGGTCCAGGGGCTGCAAAGAAGTGGGAGGAGGTGCTTCTTGGCCTTGGAGTCGAGGGAAGTCAGGCTGGCATTGATGGAGAGGAGTCACTTGCCATGGAAAATGTAGCTACTCCCTGAGGTTTGGTGCCTCGGAAATATGCGTTGATGATAGATGTTGAGTCAGACACCGGCAAAACCACCAGTTTCGCCTCTACTCGAATGGTCCCAAGTGGTAGGGCCCCGATGATAGATGTTGAGTCAGACACCAGCAAAACCACCAGTTTCGCCTCTACTACTTCATTTGTAATATAATCCTTGACATTCTAAAAATGCCATGCCTGGTTTAATTTTATCCATGCACAGCGTTAGCTGGGATGTTCGGAACATACTTCCCGCTTTCCTTCGATCGACAACATTATGTAAATAGCTAATGTCAGTGGGCAACTCGAATGGTCCCAAGTGGTAGGGCCCCGATGGACTTGTTTGTGTTGTTTGATTTGAAATGGCTCGTTGATGTGCATGGTTGGCTTCTTAGTGGAGCATTAGAATTTGCAGTGCCTGCTACACTTATCTTTTTTTGTGCTATTCACTTTACTGTTTGTTGGCGCAAAAGTTTTTTTTTTAATTATAACCAGCATGCATTAAATTTAACAGCATCTTACAGATAGTATGTCACAGATGTCCCAGTCTAAGGACGAGAGGGCTAATTGTACAGGACACAAAGGAAGTTCTCTGTGAAGAATAGCAGAGCAGCTAAAGTTTGTAGAAACTGCATTAGAGTTGAAGGCCTTTCTTGCAAGTGTATTGGCTGTTGTATTCATCATTCTTGGAATCTTGTGTACCTTGAACTGGGACTGCTGATGCGGAGGGTTGGAAAGATTCTTAGAGTTGTAGTAATCCGCCATAGCTTGCGAGGAAAGTAACAGAGTTCAGTTGTAGCTGCTTCTCTACCTTTCATTTTCTTTAGCCATTGGTGCTGGCTAAGTTTTGGACTTTAACTACCTGGGGATTATTCGTCAAAACAAATTGTTTTGATCGAGTCCACGCGAGGCTTTGTTGAGTCACTTATACCAACCAAGATCTATGAGACTTTGATCGAGCAAAATAAAACGTGGAAAGGTGGCACGCATGGTTATCATTGTAGCGTCGAGCACGTTGATAAGTTAGTATAACATGTTGACGTGCTTTGCATAAAACGGGGACAAACTCGATAATGTAACTGCAGAAACTAGCCCCCGAGTGACCCAGAGAGGTTCTCCGGAAGGTACTCGAGAGACCATGATTTATTCATATGATAATGAAAGTTCTTGCAGAATGTAAATGATAGCCATAACTGAAAATGAAACATAAAACCAACATATCTGAAAGTCTTCGGTTGCCTCCTCAAGACCCGATGAGGCCTCCTTCGCTGCTGGGGAGACCTTCGGGAGTAGGAGCTGGTGGCGGGGTCGAGGTTGAGGGATCCAGGACGACGAGAGACGGCTGCTTCGGAGCCATCAGCATGAGCTTCTTCTCCTGCAACGAGCAGGGGTAACCAGGAGCCCCCGAGCAACTCCTCCTTCTCAGCCCTGGGTCTAGGGCGTTGGTCTCCACGTACTCGACGATGTCCCTCTCACACTGATAAGCGTTCTTGAAGTTCTCAGACACGGTTATCACGTCGCGTGGCCCTGGCGTCTTCAGCTCGAGGTAGGCGTAGTTCGGGACTGCCATGAAGTTGGTGTAACACGGCCTCCCGAATATGGCGTTGTAGGGTCCCTGGAAATCAACAACTTCAAAGGAGGGTGTCTCCTTCCGATAGTGTACCGCATCACTGAGTGTCATAGAGAGATCTAATGTGCCCAAGGGCATGACACGCTGCCCGAGGACAATGCCGTGGAAGGGGAACTGTGAAGCATGCAGCTTCCTTATGTCCACGTATGGCATCCTTGTAAAGGATGTTGATGCCACTACCCCCGTCTCCATGAGGATCTTTGTCATTTTCATAGTCTCGATGATGACGCTGACCACCAGGGAGAATCGTCCGGCCTCGACCACCCGATCATGATGATCGATGCGATCGAAGGTAATTGGCCGCTCAGACCAGCGTAGGTATAGCGGGGCAGCCGGTGTAGAGACCTACCTATGGGTCAGCTTTTGGAGTCTTCGATCTTGATAGGCCTAGGGCCGCTGAACATGAGCATCGCACATCCGGTGGTTGCATCGCCTCCCTCGTCATCATCGCGATCTCCCGAATACCCATCCCACACTGTTCACATCTGCTCTTCTAGAGCAACACGCCGCCTATAGGCAACACAATCTTTGGCGAGATGGGTCATAGGGAAGCCGTGGTTCTAACAAGGACTGTTCATGATCGGCTCAAACATGTCATGATATACCTGTCTTTTGCGGTCATCGGGGATGGCATTTGGGGTAATATGCTTGTTAGTCAGCGGTGGTTGAGCATGCTTCCCAAACATGCGACCCCGCCTACCATCGATGTTGATAGGACGGGAATTGCCCGCTTGTTATGTGGGATTGCAAATTTCACGTTCCCATTGTCGCGCATTGATAACTAGGCGAGCATACCGATCACCTCCTAGCTGATCGTAGATCGGGTAAGGGTGACGCTCAGGTTGGTGTACGCCTGGGTCCCGTTGATCAACCTTGAGCTCCTGTGGGGCGGCGCCACTGGTCGCGCGGTGCCACGGTGCGACTAGCTTTGAGAGCTTCCCGATCTATAGCTGGCAGTTGAGTAGTCGAGAGCATTTTCTGTCCAGCCCTAGGAGTCGACTAGAGTAGCGTGACCATTCCCTAAGAGCGATCAATGAAGTTTTAGTTGCTTGTCAGGTGGGTGATTGGCGTCGAAGTCTGCTGGATATCAGTAGATTGCTCGAGTTGCTAGAGAAGATGATTGTTTTCTACCTCGAGCGTGTCATTCTAGCAAAGAAGGCGTATGCGGGCTTCACCGCTGATCTCATAGGAAGCATTGGGGACGATCACGTCACCTGCTGTGGGAGTAGGACAATTGAGTGCAAGTTTCTTGAGTTCTTCCCAAGGTTGCTCGGGGTCTTGTATGCTCGTGTAGCACTCGAGTTGCTTCGAGGACTCAGCATTCCCTTCCTTGGGTTTTCCTCCTCCAAGTCTGGGAACTTGAGGAGGAATTGATCATCATCGAGGTTGATGATGGGTTACTCATCATCGATGTCCTCCCATCCTTCCGGGACTTCAGACATCTCTTCATCTCCATGGGTGACTGTCCCGACGAATCGTGTGACGAGATTGTGAAAGCTTCTAGGAGAATCTGGATCATAGGCGTGGCTCTCCTCGGTATGAGGTTTGGCGGGTTCCGCGAGGACTTGTTGAAGCTAGCTAAGCTGCCGCCGCATTCCTAAATCTGATCGGGAAACTAGGAAGGACGTGGTCGGGTAACGATTGTAGATCTGATCTGGGAGCTCAGTTTGGATCTTCCTAGAGTTGGAGTGCGACGTGGAGGTCATGATCTCGGCCGATCTCAGTGAAGATGTTGCGGATGTAGTGGTTCAGGTGTTGGGTGAGAGTGCGCGGCCCCACACCCACAACTTCCTCTAGTCCGGCGAAGAATGCATAGAGCGGGGGAGGCTGTTCCTTCTCCATGGGTGGCTCGGGTTCTTGCAGTTGCAAGTTCCTAAACTAATCGGTGATGAAGTCCAAGTCGCCGAAGGTGATCCTCCCGCCTGGCTGCATCTTCTCGGCATCATCGTCAAAGTTGAAGATGATTCCCATCTGAAACATAATATTAATCTATACGTGAAAGGCCCCTACCTGGCGCGCCAACTGTCGGATGATTTAGCTTCAGTAATGCCTAGCAACGTGATCGCGTAAGAGGAATCAGATGGTAACACACGATACACAAGGATTTATACTGGTTTAGGCCGCGGTAGCGCGTAAAACCCTAGTCCAGTTGGTGCTGCCGCTCTTCTTGTATTTGTATGCTCGGTTACAGGGGCTATTGCTCCTAGCTACGTAGTAGATTTGAATGCCATGGGTTGGATCTAGCCATGAGGTCCCTACCCTCCTTTATATAGGCAGAGAGGGTAGGGTTACAATGAGGGCGATCGACTTAGCAGATTGGATTCCTAGTTTGTTACAACAAATCAATTCTATCCTACCATCGGTATGACGGCGCCGAATATCCTCGATATGCCTTGATCTCCAAGCTAGTAGATTTGTGTGGTCTTCGTGGGCTTCGTCCTTTGATGTCCTCCACTCGACGGGCTAGATATATGGTCGGTGAGGGTACCCCATGCTCATATATCCGACAAGGGTTGAACCTAATTGGAACCTGCGGTGGCGTTGTGAATTCTGCGATGACCATCATGTCCTTCTTGACATCAGCCTATAGATATGGCCCATGTGCACCTATCATTGTCCTAAAGGCCTCTAACTGCTGCACACGAGAGCCAGATAATTCCGGTAGTCTATCGGGTGTCCTCGAGGAACCCCGAATCATCCACTTTTTACAACTCATACAGGATCAACATAGAGTTACCACAACATTACAATACTTGATACAAAAATAACTTTACATCAGAGTGAGCAAGACTTACAGTATTAGATTACAAAACATGTTCAAGTCAAAACTTAACTTAAGTTCCAAAAGGTGAGTAGAACTACAGAAGCAACTTAGGTAAAGCACATAAGGTAGGAGTGACAACCAGATCATGTCGAGCCCACCGACATGATCTCGATTAGCAGCACAAGTCAGAACCTGCAATAGGGGTTAACAAACCCTAAGTACTTGAGGGTACTCAACCAGTCTTACCTGACTAAAAGAAAAGACTCCATGGGTTTGCAGGCTTAAAGGAAAGTTTGAAGCAAGAACAACTTTTGCAGAAAAGCATACTATAAGTGGATCCTTACTTTCAATGTTTTAGCTTTGTATTAAGTTTATCAGAAGTATCCAGTTTGCTCCTAGTCTAAATCAATCACTTCTTTAATCATCTCATCTCATATCCTTAAGTAATCATGTTTCATTGATTAACTACGATGTAGGTCAGTTGATCGAGTCTCCTGTTACCGTAGAGCAAACGGCGATTTGAATCGATTTGGCCCAGCTGGGGTTTCCTTACCACATGACATATAAAGGTCCCGGACCTACATATATGAACCTTCACTCAGAT